GTGTCAACACACAGACCAATTGTGAAGTGTAACCAGACCAAACAAAATACTTAAATTGGGTACATGTCCACAACATCATCACCCTGTAAGTAAATCAGTTCTTCTTCGCTCACATTTCCATTTAATAAGGGCTTTTGCGCTTGATTGTCAGGCAAGACCACTCCTACCCATCTTAAAATCAGGGCTTTTGCAAAAGTCAGCAACAGAGTACAAAAACAAAACATCATTAAAATAAGTAAAAATGCAGCCACCCAGTTCGGATCAGGATGGTAACAGATTTTTACCAGGTGGTTATTTTAGCACCACATTCAATTTTTCACAAATGCCTTGGCTCTCAAGGTGATAAACAGATRCAAGGTGTTGTTTAATTCTTAACTTTTATAGGATCAGTTTTACAGTTTTATCTACCAACTCTCTCTCATTATCTGCTTTTATAACTTCACAACACAGAAAGTTAGCAACAGGGTGGGCATCTTTCCAAATGGTTCGACAGGCCCTCGGCCATTTGACTTAACCCTGTCCCAGTTTGRTGACAGAGAACAACTCATACATTTCCACTCCAGTTGAGATGGACACATATAAGACAAAGCATTTTTTAATTTGTTATTATTATTAGTAGTACTTTTAATAATCAGATAAAGCTAATGCTGGATCTTCCCCCCTCCATTTAATTTTAAATGGCAGTGGGGGTTGATTCTGTTGGGTTTGCATTACAACAGCTCAAGTCTTGTCCTTATATTTACTGACCATCAGTTGCATCTGGGTGAGCTTTCTGAGCGTCTCCTGGTCTTGTCGTTCCTGAGCTTTTTCCCTTTTACGATGTAAATCAACCTGGTGTGCCACATGGTCAGTGTAAACACTTCTCATCATGCTGCCCAAACCAACCACCTCTGCCAATTTGGTCCTGACTGGTGGTGGGAGCCCTTCTTGGATCTTTGCCCAGAGAATGGACTGTTCCATACGGTTGAAATCTGGGTCATTTCRGGTAATATTCCTCCAGGCTTGATGAGCTCTCGACACATAGGCTCTTGCATTCTCTAGTTCCCCCATCGGTGAGATTATTATATTATCTGGATGAACATTAGCRGGAAATGTTGCTCTCAAAGCCCTCCACAACTGTCCTCTGTATGCTGCAAAAAGTTCTGCCTCATACACCGTTGTTCCCATTGCGGGCTGAATACCAGTAAATGCTTCTTCCAGCTTCGAGACCCATGGCTGCTTCTGCTTCAGCCCCTCGAANCGACAGATGACACTCCCCATACATCTTTTGTACCAATCTGGTGACACCACAATGGTGACAGCCTACACCACACAACAGTACATGAAAGATTTGGAAAAACATCTAAAGAACACCTTTGCTTTTGCTCAAAGAAACCTCGAGAAGCCCGCGGAGGGACGCAAAACATACTATGACCAAAAAGCCTCTCACGAAGAACTTCAGGTGGGAGAAAAAGTCTGGTACTATGTGTTCGCTCCAACACAGGGACAAAGAGAGTCCAGGACTGGAACTCTCACTAGCAAACTAATGCCCAGGTGGACTGGACCCCACCTGWTAACAGACAAACTGTCTTCAGTTGTCTACCAGATCAAAATCAGCAAAGGACAAAAGGAACCAATCACCAAATGGGTCCATCGCAACCAAATCAAACCCTACAAGATGTTCGATAATCTAACAAAAGATCAAGATCTTGTCACTAAATCAAACAATCTTCAATCAAAAACACCCTAAAAGGTAAATAGGTCTTTAAAACAGATCTAATAGAGAAAACTCTTGTAAAACTTAGAAACTAAGTCTAGAGTTATTTCTTAAAAGATTTTCAAATAGGTCATAACACCAGCTAAATAAACTCTATGTGGCTTGACCAGCAGAATGAGCTGAAGCATTTTTAACATCTTATTGCTTAACTACTAACTTGGTTGATGTGTGTAGGTTCTAAACCTTTCATTGTTAGTAATCGGTTCGACACGGGAATAACATCACTGTGGGACGTGAATAGCATTGTACTGGTTCTGAACACCCACAGCCAAGGAAAAGAGGTTTTGTATTGCTTTTAATGAATGGAGGTCTTATATTAACATTTGACTATGCCAACATGCAGTGATTGATAAATCTCATATGTTTACAGGGCAATGTAGATTAATGCTACRTTAGGTACCGTAATCTACATTGCCCACACCCTTGTCTTTACCTTGACCCTGCTCGAAACAACACCAATCGGGGGGGCTAACTAATCTTCAAAATGAGTCTCGACATCGACTCCAAAAATGATAAGGGAAACAAAATTTGAAAATCTAAAATCGCTCGTTAATGACAACTACAGAAGTAGACACTGTCTAAATTAACTGAGTTATGATTGAAGGAATAAGTAATTTATGTGGAAATTGAGGACTTCCTTACAGAAGCCCTCTTTAGTCTCTAATAGATATAGACACTTATATCTACCCCTTAGTTAAAGCAAAAGCCCTTTAACTATTACCTTTAGCTTATCTGAGACATGATAGCTAACCACAGAGGCACACACGGGTTTAGCCTAAAGTAAAATCCCAACTTAAGGCTAACCTAAAACCACATAAATGCATAACACATAGCAACCGGAAAAGCACCAGCTGGAGATGACCCAACAACCACCCCCACGATGGCCCACCTACTTGGCTAAGGCGACCAGGCTTCAACGCTCTCAATCTTCTGCTCCTGGTGGTATCCATCTTCACGGCGTTCCAGTGATCTCTTCCTGGCTCCTGCTAAGAGACCTCGACCTTCGATACGGAGGTCCCCTTTCATCGGCAACCTTCCAGAGAGCGACTCGCAAAAGGGGGGTTCCTGAAATCGACTACTCTTTATGGTGTTCCAGAAACTGGTTAACTGCAGATCAACCACATCAATCGTATGGAATTACCCTTGTGGATTTTAATTCTTCCTTGGTGGATTACAATCCTTTGCTTCCAGTGGATTACAGACTCTGTTTTTCCTTGGATCTAAAGCTGTGCCGCAATGGGAGTTATTCACAAACATTATGGGAATCACAAAAAAAAAAAACATTTCAATTCACTTTGATTTCCTGCTCGTCTTGAAGAAAAACTGAACTGAAAAGAACTCTGGCTATGGCAAGTACTCAGTTTGGATT